TTTCTTGTCATCTTGCAAAATTAGGTGTCATGTGCTTCGGATCACTGCAAGGGTTAAACAGCGACAACTGAGTTGGCCTAGTCATTGGGGGCACATGAACGAAGACTACTCGGCTGCCATCTAGGTCAAGCCGGCTATGTTAATTAGGACATCTATCAACGGACCCCTTTTCTATGAGTTTATCTTTGATTTGAGCTTTGTTCCTTGTCTAGTTTGTCCGTCGGGATTCATGTTGTCTCCTTTGGGCAGTGAGGTTATGATTTCTTGTCATGTGGCATTTTTTCGTGTTATATGTTATAATCCGGTGCTTCAGATCAAAATGACGACAACTGCGCCTCCAGGCCACATGCATGAAGACTTCTCGACAGTCATTGACGAGGTCAAGCCGGCTCCGGTAGACAAAATAAAACTAGTACTCCACTATATAGGCAGGAGCCTCCGTGCTTGCTTGCTAGTGTTGCTCTCTTCACACTATCTCGTCCTCTCCAGATCTAAACACAACAGCGGCGGCGGTAGCGACGGCCGGCAGCCAGGTTCGTTTGTCATATTTTGCAAATCTCTCGTTCATGGATATTGTTCGATCCACGTGCATCTAAAAGCTACACCACCACTACCCTTTTATATATTCCCCTCAATATATGCCGGTCGGTCGATCTAACACCTTAATTCTATCTAGTATTACTCCTTAGTTCAATTAACTAGGGTCTGTCTAGGGCATATCTCAATGTGCTTTAATTATTGCACATCTAGATGGTTTAATCAAGCATAAAAAGAAAAAAAAAGAAAATAAAACTACCCACACGAAACTACGTGTAAGGTCAATAACATAAGACTTAGATATGTAGTAATAGTGTAATACTTATGACACATCTAGATACTCATTAGTTTGACAGTTTTGACACTAATCACTCCATCTAGCAAAGTACGCTCAACGCACCATATTATATACTAATAGTAGATATGTGTTTAGATGCTACAACTTTTACAATGGGTTAGATCTAAAAGTGTTCTCATTTAATGTGTTTTATGAAAGAATGTTTTTTGTTGTCTTGGTTCCCATGCGAAGATCTATATCTAGATTAACATAAAGTAATTTTTTTTGTACTCACTAAATAAGTTGTCATATCAGAAGTTTTTTTTCCTTAAATGGTAAGCTTTACATATACTACATACTCCATCCCGAATTATTTGATTTAGATTTGTCTAGATGCGGATGCTTTGACTCAAAATTGTTTAAAAACGGATATACGTGTCTAGATACATTCATATCTAGACAAATCTGAATCAACTAATTCATGACGGAGAAATAGTACGTAGAGCATTAGGACGGCCCCTATACCATATTTCGCCGAAGTACTAAAGCTTACCATTTAAGGAGGTGCGTGAGAGGTACTCCCTTCGTTCCAAAATAGATGACCCAACTTTGTAATAAAGCATCGTCCGCGGATGATGAGCAGGGCGAGCATTACGTGCAATGGGGTCGTGGGTCTAGTTTCCGGGTTTGGGTTGGCTTAGTGTAGAGAAAAATCGCTAGAAAACCGGGGATTTTTTGTCAAAAAGGACCACTTGTCGAACACAATTGACAGAAAAGGCCACCCCTATATCACATTGAAAAAACGGACCAGCTCGATTGTGGCGACAGGCGCGGCAGCCGACACGTGGCGCCTGCCGGTACGTCCGGGGGCGGCAGCCCCTGCCGCCACATGCCCAGGCGGGCAGGTGGCCTGCCACAGGATTCGGCAAACGGGACGGAAAGGAGGCTGTGCAAGTGGGCCCTGCCGCCTCCTGGTGTGACGGCAACACTGTGCAAGACTGTATACTTCTTTGGACTGCGGCTTCTCCACGCGAGATGCATCGTTGTGCACGCGCTGCATGCATGCATGCAAGAGGCAAGAGAGAGTGGTAATAATCAAGGGAGAGAGTACTATTTCTGGGCTACATGCACGCATCGCATTCGAGGGAATCCCATGCATGTACTACTAGTAACTACACCGGATTATTATTAGCTACAGTACTGCCGCCACACCAGGAGGCGGCAGGGCCATCTGTACAGTGCTCTGTTCCGTCGCGCGTCCGCTGCGTTAGCAGAATCCTGTGGCAGACCACCAGCCGCCGGGGCCTGTGGCGGCAGGGGCTGCCGCCTCCGCGCGTGGCGGCAGGCGCCATGCGTCGGCTGCCGCGCCTGCCGCCACGATCCAGCTGGTTTGTTTTGGCAATATGACTCAGGGATGGTCTTTTCTGTCAATTACGTCGGATGTGTCTTGGTTTGTCTTTGTGACACGATGGAAAAGCCAGGAAGGCATTTCTACAAATGCGAGCGGCGGGGTGTAAGTTTTCTCACCAAACAAACACTCCTTCATCATTGAGATTTAACCAATGTATTTTTGCCCTCTCTATCCAGGTTGGAGGTTCCCCGTTCTGAAAGTAGGAGAACAAGTACATCACCCTCCTCGATGCGCCCAAACTGAAGCTTATATGAGAAGGAACTTGGTGGTGTTGATGAATACTGTGTGGGTCTATGGGATGAATGCCGTGTGAGAAGGAACTTGGTGGTTGATGAAGGATATTCTCTACACACTGACTCTGTATCTAGCGGCAAGGAAGAGCCTGAGGTAAATAAATTTAAGATACATCTATGGCTAGCCTACTAAACATGGCAGGTTGGCCATAAAAGTGTTTAAATCTATGTATCTCAAGTGTGTCTCGCGAGGAGAGAAAGTGACACACATGACAGGCTGGCCATAGATGTGTCTTAAATTTTTGTACGGCGAGTGTCTTTCATCTCTCTAGATATAGAGGTAGTGGGCAAAGGAGATCCTCACACAACTGTCGTCAACCAAACTTTTCCATAGTGAATTTTTTGAAATGCCCACGAGCAGAAAATGCCACACATGACAGGCTGACCATAGACGTGTCTTAAATTTCTATACCTCAAGTGTCCATCCTCTCACTAGACATATAGACAATTGACAAAGGAGACCCTCACACACGTTTCATTAGCCAGCAAGTTCCTTCTCCTCTAAGCTCCTGAAGCTCTTGGATATGGGCGCATCGAGAAGGAAGGTTTTTTCCTCTGCACATTGTATTCATTTCATTATTTTTGTTGAAAAATTTAGGGGCAATTTGGTTTCTAACCACAATTTGTCACACTTTAAGTTAGGCAAATTTGATCAAGTTATGCGGCCTTCGTTCTATCACATCTAATATAAGATATTTTTTGAGAAATAAACCCCACATGTTATACATATAGAAAGTGTAACAAGATTTTTTTTAGACAAGTCAAAGTGTGGCTAAGAACTTAAGCACCAAGATAAGTCAAATGTGGCAAATCTAAGGCTAGTTCTTTTGGCCGATTTTGAACCCTTTCCAGCTTCTCTCAAAACCTCCAATCTAATCGTTTGACAATCTTACATAGTTAGGATCTAACTAGTTAGGATTGTCAAACGAATGAATGTATAACCAGCTTAGATTGTCAAGCGAATGAGTGCTTGATGATTTTGGGAGAGTCTCTTAACTAGCTAGTTAAGGTCCCCTAACTAGCTAGGTTTGTCGAACAAATGGATGTTAAAAATTCTGAGAGAAGATGAGGAGAAGGCTGATTAGCCAAGAGAACCGGCCCTTTTCTTAGAACTGGCCCTTAATCATCATAAACCAAACATGCCAAATTCCTTATTCTTCTTGGTCTCTGACATCATATTACCATTTTGCCCCTGTTGAATGGATGGACTCAATCCGTCATTTGCGACCGCCGAACACACCACACCGGAGTGTTGTGCCGCCGTCCCGTCGTGAACAGCAGGGGAACAGCGGCGGCGTTCCTCTCAGCGGTAACGTCCCCCGTGTGCTCCGCCTCTCCGCCCCTCCATTTTCTTGAGTTGAATGCGAGGTTTCTTGATTGCATAAACCCTAGTTTCGAAGTGAGGGTTCGGTTCGCTCCACGTCCCGCCGCCTCCACGCACCCACTTGCAGATGCAGCTGCTCCTGCGCTGTGGCTCTCTCCTCCGTCTCTACGAGTACGGCTGTCAATCCCCCTTGTGTGCATTTTCAATTTCCTTTTGTCGATTCGGGTTCTCCGCACGCCGTAGGGCAGCAGCTTCCGATTTGGGGGATAATAGAAGGGGTGGAGTCCTCTCCATTTAGGAATTGTAGATCGAAAGCAAGTTTATAGGGCCTCTTTGATTCGTAGGATTGCAAAAACACAGGAATAGGAAAAACGTAGGGTTGAAATGGCATGTCCATTGGATCCCTATAGGATTTGAGTTTGTTTGATTGTGGCATGGGGAAAGCAAAGGATTTCTTCCAAGAGGTTGGAGTGGATGTTAGAATTCCTGTGAAATGCAGTACAAATAAATCCTTAGGGAAAAATCCTACAAGATTCAATCCTACGAATCAAACGACTAACGTAGGAAAAATTCCTAAGGATTCCAATCCTTCAAAAATCCTATAAAGATCCTTTGAATCAAAGAGACCCTTATTGGGGGCTCAACGGTGTTCTGCAATGTGCTGCCCTGACTTGCTGTCATGGTGCGGATGCGGCTTTATGGGTCTCTTTGATTCAAAGGATTTTGATAGGATATTTGAAGGATTAGAATCCTTAGGAATTTTTCCTACATTGATCGTTTGATTCGTAGGATTGAATCCCATAGGATTTTTTCCTAAGGATTCATTTGTACTACATTTCACAGGAATTCTAACATCCACTCCAACCTCTTGAAAGAAATCCTTTGTTTTTCCAGTGACACAATCAAACAGACTCAAATCCTATAGGGATCCAATGGACGTGCCATTTCAATCCTACGTTTTTCCTATTCCAGTGTTTTTACAATCCTATGAATCAAAAAGGCCCGTATTTTTCTTCTTTTTGTGAACAGCATCCAGTTAACTACAGTATTTTTCTATTAGTATGAATCGCCGAAAACATTATTATCCAGTAGCCACGATGTTTATTTAATTTGCTGTGCATTGAGGAAATTGGCACGGTCATCATTCATATGGATCTAATGTCTCAGGAATCACTTAGGATGTTTCTGCAACACGTGGTGAAACAACTTGTTGTTTACAGGTGTAGCGGTGGGCTTCCAAGAACAAATTACAGTTGTAGAAAATTAGTGCTTCCAATACTAAACGTGATGAGTGAGAGGACGCGGATTACCTATTCACGTAGAGCTGTCTCTAAGAACAGTGAGATCAAGAAAGATGAACAAACAGTCATAGAAAAGGTTAGTATTGTATACCCATTGTGCTGACATTTGTCGTTTATACATCTCATGGTCAGAAATTCATGTATTTTTTGGAACCATAGGAAGATGACACTGAAAGCACATTGGAGATAGAGCGAATCAGAGGTGACCCTAGTATGCTCCAATCCATGACAGTGAAAGAACTCAAGGAACTCACAAGGTTCAAAATTTTCCTAGCCTCTCCTTATTGTATGTTTCCGATAATTGATTTACCCATTTAGTTTTGTATGCCATGACTTTGAAGGACGATGGGAGTTGCTGCGAGAGGTAACAAGAAAGATTTGGTATCAGCTCTGATGGAATCTCTGGGTGAGGAAGTAATTGGTATGACTTACTTGCAGACCTCTAGTGGTACCATTGAACTACATTCATGCTTTCTTTGTATAGACTCTACATGCACCTCTACAACCTCCTGATTCAATTATGACTTCTGCCCTAGTAATATGAGACAATGTTCAGTTTTTCCCGAGAAATTGTATCGTAGGTAGTAGGTAGCCAGAAGAATAGCAATCAGTACGTGTTAGTGTATACATCTATATAGTGTTGCAATAAGCATTTTGGCTGGATGCTGATTCTTTTTCTGCAGGTAAAGAGGGAGCATCAACCATTGAGCAGATTGGCCCATCAGAAGTACCTTCAAAAAGAAAAGGTGCCGCTTCAGTAGTGGTTGAACAAAAGCTAGAAACTTCTGAAGTTATTTCCGCAACTCCTAGCAAGAGAAGTAGAACCAAGCAGAAATCAATTAAGGGCACCACTCCGGAGGAGAACCCTGTGACTACTGTCAAGATAAATAAAACATCACACAAGAAGGAAACAGTTGTTGGTACGCTCATTGTTTCACCAGTCTTGATCATTTCTGGGCTAGAAAATTACTGCTCTCTTGGCTAACTATGGGATTGTCTTTCACAGCCAATGGTGCTATTGCAAAGGCGGGGTTGGGTCTTAATGTGGATGGTGCAGAGCCTTGGACTGTACTTGTACACAAGAAGCCACAGGCTGAGTGGATTCCGTACAATCCTAAGGTCATGAGGCCTCCACCCCTTAGCAAGGATACAAGGGCACTAAAGATTCTATCATGGAATGTCAATGGACTGAAAGCTCTAGTAAAAAATAGGGGCTTCTCCGTTCATGAGTTAGCACAGAGGGAGGATTTTGATGTGCTATGCCTGCAAGAAACGAAAATTCAGGCAAGATATTTGTTATTACAAAATGATCTTGTAAAGATAGGACAAGCGCAGTTCTGTCTCGCAAAGCTGGCATCTGCCTTTTGTCCTCTGAAAATTTTGCTGTACTTCATTCACTCGAATAGTTTATCAACAAATAGTTGCACTGTTTTGCGCAGGAGAAAGATGTTGACGTCATCAAGGAAAGTCTACTTGAAGGGTATACCAATAGTTTCTGGACATGTAGTGTGTCAAAGCTTGGATATTCAGGGACTGCCATAATTTCACGGGTATGGACTGCCATTCTTGCACCCTAGCACCACCAATTTTGTCAGTGCTTCATAGTTCAAAACACTTACAAATTTTCATTGGTTTCTTCTGTTGTACTGTGTTTCAAGTTCAACCAATTGCAAGGAATACTGAATGGAATTGGAATAAAATACTAAGTGCCCAAATGTCCCCTTATCTAGGAATCACCCCATTATACCAGTTGGTTCAGCTCCACTGATACTGATGTTTTATTTTGGAATCTTTAACTCCAGATTACGTGAAACTTAGAAAGGAAACGATTGAAACATAAGCGGTTAAAGGCTCGAGCTATTAGTTTGCTTCATAGTTATCCTTCCATGATATTAACACATGTCACCTGATTAATCATTGTGCTGTGCTTTCTGTAATTTTTTATGGATGTTAGACAAGGAGATCCATTATATCGCTGTGCTGTTTGCACTTTTTTGTACTGCTTCAGTTGATCATAAGGGCACATTAACAAGTTAGGAATGTTTATTGTCAAATACAGTAACTTTGCTTAGCATGCCCCTCATATTCCATATCTCTTCATCATGTGTCCTGCACTTTTGTAGGTGAAACCACTTTCTATCAAGTATGGGCTTGGTGTACCAGACCATGATACAGAAGGGAGGATTGTGACAGTGGAATTTGATGATTTTTACTTGCTAACCGCTTATGTGCCAAATTCCGGTGATGGTCTCAAAAGATTGGTAATATATTGCTGTAGTTTTCATTCTGGTATGCATCACTTGAGATTCGAATCTAATCCGTGATTATATGTTACTGTGTAGACTTACAGAGTCACAGAGTGGGATCCATGCCTTGGTAACTACATGAAAGTATGCTCGCCTTGCCTTCTACTTTTATTTATATTTGAAATAATTTTCTTATGCCTTTATACCTTTGCCTGTCACGTTTTTTTCTGGAAAAAGACGAAGTTCTGACTTTCCCATTGTTTCATATTGTTATTTGTCACTGCATTGATTTCCCCCATTCCTATTCTTAGTCCTTCTGTTCATTGGACATGTTCTCCAGTACAAGCAGTTGTGGTGGATATCTATTTTATCTGTTTTCTGTGGTTGCATTTAGGGTTGGTGTGTTGTCCTGTACATTTGCACATACCGAAACTTAGTAATAGCTAAGAATAATATAAAGTGCCTTGTTAGAACTTTGGAGGTACATGCCACAGTTGGATGTTAAGGCCCCTAAAGTTTGCATGGAAACCTAGTTAGGGCTGTGGACCTTGACATTGTTCAATCCAACATATTGGGCATCTTTCATCATGCAGTATGCGCCATATCTCCATTGTTGGCTATTTTCATTCCCTTACTTTACCTTAATCGAGTTAGCACATTGGAACCTCTCTGATGTTGTGTTTCTGTGCAGTTGATATCATGTGCAAAACTACGCTGTTAGTTAAAAATGCACGATTATGTTCAAACATGATGCCGGCCTCCTTCATTTTATCATGTTTAACAAAACCTGACAAATTTCGTATGATTATGCAGGAATTGGAAAAATCGAAACCTGTCATACTAACTGGTGATCTTAACTGTGCGCATCAGGAGATTGATATACATGATCCTGCTGTAAGTAGTCGTTAGTTTGTATCACCTACATGCTTGAATATCTGTGGTACAGAAAATTTACTTTATGCTTAAATATGCGGTGTATGCGCTATTCCACTGGTGTATGACCACAAAATTCATTTTCAAAACCTTGCTTATCATGTTACTAAAATGGCTCCTCCTGGACAATTACTGAGACTTGAACCCAACATCTCAGGTGTTAAGTTAGCCACACCAACATACAAGTACATCGATGTGTAGTTTGTTTATAATGGTTGTTAGATTGAAAAGTACGTAAGCACTCAGTATACTGCTCAAAGGGTGATCTATATTATGCAAAATTGCTGCATGCTATGTATTTCAGGTTGTGTTTGTTATTTCACTGTCCAAAAATATGCTTGTTAGGAATACAATTATCAAGATCCTTGTAAAAAAGTAGAGCTACTGAGAAATCCTGGCCCAAATTGTGGAAAATAACCTTTATTGTGTTGTTATCGGACATGTTTTTGGGTGGCCTGTCAGTATGTCACGTTGTCTAGCTCATGGATGTGACGGCTGGCCTGATCTGTTTTGGTACTGATATCATTTCCACTCTGACCTCCCCAAACGTTCTGTGTTACATTTTCTTGTATCTGTTACCTTTTGTCCAGGGAAATAGTAGAAGTGCCGGCTTCACAAAAGAAGAAAGGAAATCGTTTGAGACTAATTTTCTGTCCAAAGGGTTCGTGGATACGTTTCGGAAACAGCACCCTGATGTTGTTGGATATAGCTACTGGGGTTATAGGCATAATTGCCGGAAGACTAATAGAGGTATGAGCTCGATGACTCGAGCCCGACCTTACCGCAAAAACCAGAAACCACTCCCTTCATTGTTTATATTTACTAGCACGATCTGTTAGCAACCATTTAGGCATTTCACATTTATACCCATCTATTGTTCAGTTGACAAATTTTGCTGTTTGATCATCCCAATGAGCCTCACTTGTTTCGTCATGTGGGAGGAAAGTATGCTCATGGTTTTAACATGTTGCCTTTGTCTGTTGGCGGATACACAGGTTGGCGCCTGGATTACTTTCTCGTGTCGGAGTCCATCGCGGAAAGAGTCCACGATTCATACATCCTTCCCGACGTTTCTGCCAGTGACCACAGCCCGCTCGGCCTCATACTGAAGCTCTAAGCGAGCCCCGGCCTCATGCGAAACTTGCAATCTAACTTCTGGGGTTGGTTTGCAGCGTTGCCTGTTCCGGTTTGCGCAGATGATTTTGCGTCAGTGAAACAATAGGTAGTACTTCAATGGATATTGGCTGGTGGTCATTGTACCAATCCAGGGTTGTAGCGTTATGGTTCAGCATGAGCCTTTTGGGGAAATACCTGTCCCGGCTATGTGTTCCGGCTGACCTTTCAGACTTAACATGAAACTGTTCCTCCGATTGTCTGGGTCAGATATGCTGTGCTGTATTGTTCGAAGCAATTTTCTCAAGACTAAAACCTGTAGAGTATAGACTACAGAGTGCCTATCAGATAAGTGTGGAACATGCGTTAAAACAAGAGTCTATTCAGGAAGAAGAAATCTACGGTAGAGCTAATATGCATGGATAGTAAACAAATACGTACTCCCTCCGTTCCTAAATATAAGTCTTTTTAGACATTTCAAATAGACTACAATATACGGATTATGTAGACATATTTTAGAATGTAAATTCACTCATTTTGCTCTGTATGTAATCATTTGTTGGAATATCTAGAAAGACTTATATTTGGGAACGGAGGGAGTAGTTCCGTAAAAGTTATATTTTACAGTTTCATTTTTATCTTGTACATAACGGGTACAAGTATGAGATATGGTCTTCGAGTGTACCTGGATGCAAAATACAATTAGAGTGGCATAGTCCGAAATTCTAGCTGTGTGAAGATCGCTGGTCGGGGCATCTTCGACGCCGTCCATCAACCCGAACGTGTTTGCGGACTGCGATAGTAGAGCTGGCCATCCAAACCGGTGCATCAAACATCCGGCCTCCTTCTTTTGACATGCATATCAATAAAAATTTAGCACATGTAAATATAAGGGTAAACATACGCAATCACACCCTAAATGCGCAACCGGATGTTCAGAAGTTTTTTACATGCGTCCAATCCCAAAAGTTGTTGGTCCGGCTATCCATGCAAAAAGTTCTCCTTTTCTTTGCCTCCTAGATGGGTTGTGCCTGCTAAATTATGCACTGTGCAACTGGCTCCATCAAATCCGACGTCAAATGCTTCAACATCCTAGCATGATAGGCTTGCACGTTCTTCGCCGCATCGGGATTCAAGTTCGACATCTTCATGGTCAACATCTTGGCGGCGGACGGCTCCCCCTTCGGCTCTATCGCGGCCGTGGATGGTGAAACGGGTGGGAACTGGGGTGGGTGGCGGTGGCGATTAGACGGACACAACAAGGAAAGGGCGGGCTTACATGCGAAAATAGTGTGGAATTTGTTAAACATATCTTGCGTCACAAGTATATGAGATAGAGATAGGATTTTTATTATCTGTTTAAACTACTTTATCTCTTCTTCTCTATCTCCTCATGTATCTCCCTTCGGTTGGCAATCTCCACCGAACCCTGTAATCCTCTCGATCTACAACGATCGCTCAGTCAATATATACATGCGGGCTCTCATGTATGAGGGTTGAGACGCTTCCATCATTCTCCACATGGTATACAGAGCAGGCTCTTCCGATTGCATCTAGCTCGTGCCTCCTACCTCTCGACACCTACCCATCTCCTTCGCCCCCAACCTACGCTTCTCTCCTCGCCGCCACCCATCCCCTCCACCATGTCTTCCTCCAGTACTGCCGTCTCCTCCACCCTTAATTACAACACCTCTGAACCCCTGACCAGGACGAACTACGTTCTCTGGAAAGCTCAAGCCCGATCCCAGATACTGGGCGCTGGCCTCTATGGCTACATCGACGGCACCATCGTCGAGCCTCCCAAAACCCTCACCACCAAAGATAAAGACGGCAAAGATCAGGTCATCCCCAACCCTGCCCATAACCCCTGGCTCGTTCAGGATCAACAGATCGTCGCATATCTCTTGCGCAATCTGTCCAAAGAAGTTCTCATCCAAGTTGCTTCCCTTGAGTCCTCCCACGCCATCTGGACTGCCTTGGCCACTATGTTTTCCACTGTCTCGCTGTCTCGTGCCAACAATCTTCGCGCTGCACTCACTAATGCTCAGAAGGGCTCCATGTCCGCCTCTGCCTACTTTGGCCAGATGCGATCTCTCTCCGACGAGCTCACCGCGGCAGGCAAACCCCTTGGAGACGGGGAACTCATCTCTTTCGTCGTCGGCGGACTTGACATGGACTATCAACCCATCATCTCCGCCCTCGACGTCCGCACCGAGCCCATCACCGTCGATGGTCTCTTCTCCCTTGTGTCAAACTTCGATCAGCGTATGGAGATGTTTCACGGTGCTGGCAATGGCGGTTTCAAGTCCTCCGCCAACATCGCCTCGCGGGGCCGTTCTGGTGGTGGAAACGGGGGCTACCGCAAAGGAGGGGGTGGTGGCTCTCGCGGCGGCGGCGGCGGCGGCTACAACGCTGCTGCTGGTGGCTCCAGCGGCGGCGCTCCTGGCGGCTACTACATGGCGGGCGGTGGCAGCGGCCATCCAAACCCTAACTCTGGTGGTGGCTATGGCGCACACCAGAACGGCGGGGATCACCAGGGGGGTTCTGGTGGAGGCGGCGGCTACTTTCACCAGAACCAGAACCCTTCTGGTGGTGGCGGCTACAATCGCCGCAACAACAACAGCAACCGGCGCCCTTTTCAAGGGTATGAAGGGTATGAAAACAAGTGTCAAATTTGCAAAAAAAAAACCATATTGCAAAAGACTGTGATTGGCGCTACGCCGATGACAAAAACTCCCAAAAAAAGAAAGTTGCAGCTGCAGCCGACGTGTCCTATGGCGTTGATACCAACTGGTACATGGACACGGGTGCCACCAACCACATCACAGGCGAGTTGGACAGGCTGACTATGCATGAGAAATATCGTGGCCATGATCAAGTCTACACTGCGGCAAATGGTGCAGGTATGGAGATAAGTCATGTTGGTCAGTCCTTTATCAAAACCCCACACAAAAATCTCAACATCAATGACATCCTATATGTTCCTAATGCCTCCAAAACGTTGTTATCTGTTCATCGTATTGCTCTTGACAATAATGTGTTTCTAGAGTTTCACCCATTCTTCTTTTTGATCAAGGATCAGGTCACGAAGAAAATTCTCCATAGGGGTGTCTGTATCGAAGGCCTCTATGCTTTGCTTCCCAAGTATTGCCAGAACAATAAACAAGTGTATGGTGCCATCAAGCTTTCTACTGAGAGGTGGCACAATCGCTTAGGTCATCCTTATTTTTCTAATGTTCATCAGATCCTTAGTAGAAATAAACTCCTAGTTGTTGGTGAGAGGAACTTAGAAACCATTTGTGATTCATGTCAACGAGCAAAAAGTCATCAATTGCCATATCCTGTGTCTACTAGTGTTTCCACTAAGCCTTTGCAGCTTATTTTTTCTGATGTGTGGGGTCCTGCCCCCACCTCTGTTGGTAGACACTCTTACTATGTAAGCTTTATTGATGATTACACCAAGTACACATGGATATATCTCCTTAAGAAACGTGCTGATGTGTTCCAAGTTTTCCACAACTTTCAAGCTCTCGTTGAACGCAAACTTGATAGCAAAATTATTTCTGTACAGTCGGACTGGGGGGGGGGGTGAGTATGAGAAACTGAATTCTTTTTTTCAAAAGATAGGTATCTCACATCACGTCTCCTGCCCACATGCGCACCAACAGAATGGCTCTGTTGAACGCAATCATAGGCACATCGTTGAAGTAGGGCTTGCTCTTTTAGCCTCAGCTTCAATGCCACTAAAATTTTGGGACGAAGCCTTTCTCACTGCCGTGCATCTCATCAACATGTGGCCTAGTCGCACTATTTCCAACGAAACTCCAACTGAACGCCTCTTTCATGTCACACCAGATTACACCACACTTCGAGTTTTTGGGTGTGCCTGTTGGCCAAATCTTCGTCCCTACAACACCCGTAAGCTTAGTTTTCGGTCTGAGCAATGTGTTTTCCTTGGGTATAGCGCTCAGCATAAGGGGGTCAAGTGCTTAGATGTTTCCACCGGACGTGTGTATATCTCACGTGACGTTGTGTTTGATGAAACTCAATTCCCTTTTACAAAACTCCATCCAAATGCCGGCGCCATTCTCCGAAAGGAAATTCTTCTCCTTCCTCCGCATCTATCCGGCGTTCCGCGTGAGGGTGATGATATTTGTACTGACCCAACTTTGACTAATCCATCACCTGTTGCACCTGAGTTTTGTATTTCAGCAGAAAATGGTGAAAAAACACTGATTCAGCAGCAACAGAGGAGGAAACAGGCGATCCAAGAGAATCTACATCGGGATTGGTGCCCCTGACTGCGTCAGCCCCGATCGTATCCTCCTCGGGATCGCTGCTGGGCCAGTCCCGCCCGATCGCGTCACGCTCCCCCACCGCACCAGCCTCCCCGCGTGCGCCGCACCAATCGGCTGTAGGGGGCAGCCCGACCAGGCGGCCTGCGCTGGACCCCCCAGGCGAGGCGCGCCAATCATCTAACGAGGCCAGTCCGACCAGGCGGTACCCGCCGGTCCCGCAGGTCTACTCCAGGCAGGACCCTGCGACAGGCTCGGCTGGACGCGGCGCGGTTCACGTGCCCGATCCGCCCGGATCTTCTGCGGCCGCCTCTGCTGCTCCTTCCACTACAGTTGCCACAGAAGATCCCGTGTTGTCAAGCGGATCTGCCTCGGGATCACCAGAACCGCGTCCGTCGCCGTTGCTCGGATCTTCTGCGGCTCCTCCGCCGCTGCCTCGTACGCGTCTACAGGCAGGCACTATTCATCCTGTCAATTATAAAATTAAGTATGGTTTAGCTACCTCCAGTGACTCCGCAGGTGAACCTCGCACTGTCACTGATGCTCTTGCTGATCCCCGCTGGAAACAAGCTATGGATGAAGAATTTCGTGCCCTGCAAAATAACAACACATGGCATCTTGTTCCCTATCATCCACGTTGCAACATCATTGACTGTAAGTGGGTCTATCGCATCAAACGACGATCAGATGGCACCATCGATTGCTACAA